TCAGTGGTTGTTGTTGTTGTTTGCGATCCGGCCTCTGGTTCATGACAGTAGAATCTGGCCATTATGGATCCAACACCAACCCGAGAGTGGTGCTCTAAGGTAGAAGGGGCTGTTAGTAAACTTGAGAAAGGGCTTCAGGAAATGGTTGTTTCTCTTCAAGCTTTGTCCCAACAGTCAAACCAAGTCATCAACCAAACCCTGTTGACTCCTGCACCAAGAGAACCACGGTTAGCCCCCCCTGAACATTTCAGAGGTGAGCCTGAGCAATGTCGACCATTTTTGACTCAGTGTGACATTCAATTTCAATTGCAACCTTCATGTTTTCCCACTGAGCATGCTAAAGTAGCTTATGCTGTCTCACTTCTCGCTGGAAGAGCCAAGACGTGGGGCACTTCTGAATGGTTAAAAGGTGGCGTGGTATGTCGTAATTTTTCTGAATTTTCCAAAGAGTTGTGTCGGGTTTTTGACCCCATCCTCCCTGAGAGAGAGGCAGCCCGAAGAATTTTTGATATTAAACAAGGCAAGGATTCTGTAACCAAATACATCATTCACTTTCACTCTGTTTCAGCAGACAGTCATTGGGATGAACACGCACTCACTGACGCCTTCTTCAGGGGGCTTAATGAAGATGTTAAGGATGTGCTGGCAACAATGGACTATCCCTCATCCCTACGCCAGCTGGAGGAGGTGGCCACCCGTGTTGACCTTCGCCTGCGTGAGCGTGAGCGTGACCGTGAACAGAGTCGAGGCAAGGCCACAGCCATGTCCAGAACCAGACATCACCTTGTGGATCATGAACCTAAAACGGAACAAACCAAGAGCCCTCAGGATCCTCTGTATGCTACAGAACCCATGCAACTAGGAAGAAGTCGTCTGACCACCCAGGAACGAGAACGTCGGAGGAGGTACCATCTCTGTTTTTATTGTGGTCAAGGCGGTCATGATTGTCATCATTGTCCAGTAAAAGACCAGGCTCAGCAGGAGAAGAGAGGCTCCTGTTGAGTCTTAGTCATAAGATCAAGTCCTCTCCACCTATCATGTCCAAGTCCAAGGTCAAGTTCATAATAAAGGGTGGTCAACCCGTCATCGTCTCAGCTTTTATTGATTCAGGGGCCAACACGGAATTCATTGATAAAACCTTTGCCAAATCCATAGATCTGACCATTGTTCCATCACCTAACAACCATAAGGTCCTCGCTTTAGATGGTCATCCTTTAAGTCAATCTAGTCTTGAAACTGTTCCAGTCACCATGGTGTCGGCCAACAACCATTCGGAACTGATCAGATTCATTGTTATTGATTCACCCCAACTCCCAGTGGTTTTAGGTTCCACTTGGTTACGCAAACACAACCCCCAAATCGATTGGAGGAACCAAGAGATTGTAGGATGGGCTAATGAGTGTTATTCTACATGTATTCAGAGCCAACCCAGTTCACCAGCCCTTGTCACAGCCAATGAGGAGACCTATCCTAATCTAAGTCAGGTACCTAAAGAGTACCATGATTTGAAAGAGGTCTTTAATAAATCAAAAGCTACGTCCCTTCCGCCACATCATCCATACGATTGTGGTATTGACCTGATCCCAGGTTCTACCCCCCCTCGGGGTAGATTATATTCTTTGTCTGGTCCCGAGCAAGAGTCCATGAGGAAATATATAACAGAGTCCCTCCAAGCTGGTATCATTAGACCTTCAGCATCCCCCGCTGGTGCAGGTTTTTTCTTTGTAGGGAAGAAAGATGGGTCACTTCGTCCATGCATTGACTATAGAGAACTTAACAAAATAACCATAAAGAACAAGTATCCTCTGCCCCTCATGAACTCTGCTTTTGATATAATCCAAAATGCTAAGATATTCACCAAACTGGATCTTCGCAACGCTTACCATTTGGTCAGGATACGGCGGGGAGATGAATGGAAGACGGCTTTTAATACCGCAGATGGCCATTATGAATATCTTGTTATGCCATTCGGCCTCACCAACGCTCCTGCCGTTTTCCAAGCCCTGGTTAATGATGTCCTTCGTGACATGATTAACATTTACGCTTTTGTTTACCTTGATGACATACTTATCTTTTCACAAGATAGCATTTCTCACCGTCGCCATGTCAGAGCTGTCTTAACCCGCCTTTTACAGAACAACTTGTTTGTCAAGGCAGAGAAGTGTGCTTTCCACCAAGTGTCCACCTCATTCCTTGTGTTCAACATTTCTCCAGGTCAAGTATCCATGGAACCCGGGAAGGTATCAGCGGTGGTGGATTGGCCTAAGCCCAAGGATCGTAAACAGCTGCAAAGGTTTCTCGGTTTTGCAAATTTTTATAGGAGGTTCATTAAGAACTACAGTTCAGTTGCAGCTCCTCTTCATTTTCTCACCTCATCTAAGACCAAGTTCATCTGGGACTCCGTTGCCAACCAATCATTCCAGAAGCTCAAAACATTGTTTTCCTCTGCTCCAATCTTGCACTCTCCAGACCCCGAGAAACAATTCATTGTGGAGGTCGATGCATCCAGCACCGGGGTGGGCGCCATCCTCAGTCAGCGCAGCACAGATGGTAAGATCCACCCCTGTGCTTACTTCTCCAGGGCACTCTCCCCCGCTGAGAGAAACTACGACGTGGGAGACCGTGAGCTTTTGGCAGTCAAGATGGCCCTGGAGGAATGGAGGCACTGGCTGGAAGGTGCGAAGAAGTCCTTTTTGGTATGGACCGACCATAAAAACCTGGAGTACCTTCGCACAGCAAAGAGACTCAATCCCCGTCAGGCCAGGTGGGCTATGTTTTTCTCTCGGTTCAGTTTCACCCTCTCTTACAGACCCGGGCCCAAGAATGCCAAGCCGGATGCCCTGTCCCGGGTCTTTGAGGTCAAGGAAGGGCCCTCAGAAGAGGTCGAGTTCATCCTGCCTGAGACCGTACGTCTTTCTTTGACTCAATTAGAACTCGATCTCCAACAAGTCCAACTCTCCGAGCCACGTCCACCCACCTGTCCTAGGGGGCGCCTGTTTGTCCCCAATCAAAAGGTAAAAGAGGTTCTTGAATTATGCCATTCATCAAAGTTGTTCTGTCACCCAGGAATCACCAAGACCCTCCAACTCATTCGCGCCCGATTCTGGTGGGCTACGCTTACGGAGGACACCAAGCACTTTGTCAAGTCATGTCCCGAATGCAATCGTGCCAAGTCTTCCAATCGCCCACCTGCCGGGCTGCTACGACCCCTGCCAATTCCTTCACGCCCATGGTCACATATTGCTATGGACTTTGTGACTGG